CCGGGCGATGGCCCAGCAGGATCGCCCGCCACTCCCATGGCCATGCGTGTCCCGGGACCATGTGTCGCCATATCCTCTCCCACCATCTCCATGTTACTACCGCTACCGGGCATTGGAGAAAAATGTGCTCTATGGTTTCTTCTTTTTTTCTGGACGGGAAGGTGAGAAGACACCGAGAACACCAAGGCAGCGCCCGCCCTTGCTGTTCCAGGTGGGTGTGGTCGATCAGCCAGCTGTTAGTAGGGAGACAGCGGTGTATAATTTGCCATTGTAAGGACGTGATCTTGGCCGGGCCGTATTTACAGTCCTTAAACCATCTGATGGGCGCCAATAATTGTCCGTTTATATTCAAATGTCGCTGCCAGCGATCGCAGACCATTTCCTTCACAGCTTTTTTGACTCCAAGCTTTCGGTAGGAAGCTTTGACTATCATGTTCCAGAGGGGTACGGGCTTTAACTCGTGTGCCCGAGGGTGAGCTGGCGGGTTCCACACCCACTCGACCGGGTCCAGGGGAAGCTCACTCAGCGGGGTCCCGGGGGTCCCGGGCCTGAAAGCTCTTTGCCCCTCCCCCTCACCGTATACTCTCACTCGGCGGAGTTGGGTCTTAGAACCCCATATAAAGGGGTCTGTACTGCCGGTCAGTCGCCCATCCTTCCCTACCTGATATTCTTCAAGCAGGGCATCTTCTGCACACACCTGGTGAACTAGCCCGATGCGTTGGGCCCAGTCATTGGTATTGACCCAGTCCCCCTCTTGCAGTTGTGGACCCTTGCGCAGAATGTGGAGCCAGGCCAGAGGGAAGGCCTCAGTTAGTTCCTCTACTGCGGCTTCGAGTTATGGCAGTAGCGGAGGAGTCCCTTCATTTGTTCTGGTGTTTTCCAGTCATTTCTGAGGTCGTCCCACAGATCCTTTACCCTGGAAATCCCATGCTTGACCCACCCCTTCCATGGTGAGTCCGAACTGCAAAAAATCTGGCTGTGTGTGTTTGTGATCCATCGGTTCCCGAACAGTGCCTGTCTTGCCACTTCCTCCCACCGGTCCGGAGGCGGGCGATCTGGGGGGGGGAGTTTCCTCCAGGTTTTTATTAGGCGTGGCCACAGGTCATCACCCAGGCCCCTCGGGACCTTCCAATACCTGTCGTCTAACCATCTTAGTGGATCGACCTCCGGGGGAGATTTTGGGGTCAAATGGGCTATCTGTCGTATAGCCAGCGGGGCCCACTGTTAGGTTGCCTCGAAGATCAGCCTCACCGACCACATCAGGCTCAAATCCTGTGTCTGAGTGGGGGGGTCTATGATGCCCAACCCCCCTTGTGCTTTGGGCTGAACCACTGTGTCCCATGCCACTCGACTGATGACGTTAGTAGTTTGGCTGTCCGCTCTCCATAGATATACTGCCACCTTTCGTCTAAGGGCTCTGTGGGCCCCCGCTCTGGCTGACCATAGAACAAATTTGTACCATAGTGTGGCAAAAACCACATTATTGATTATCAGGGCCCTTCCGAACAGGGATGTGTGCTTGCGGTCCCAGCGGTCAAATTTAGCCAATGCCGGGGCCGTAATCCAGTCGTCGTTGTCAAGCGGGCGGCCGTATGCTGACATTTTCACCCCCAGGACCCTAATAGGCGCCTCCTGAGGGGTCCATGAGATGTGCGGCTCGTCCGGGGGACGACTCCCCTGGTGGTGGATCCACCAGCCCTGTGTTTTTTTACCCCAATTTGTAGTCATGTTTGAGAGGGCGCAGAATCTATCCATTAGCCGCTTTATCTCTTCCATGTTTGCGGGTGTTGAGTCTGTCATGATCGTCAGATCGTCAACAAACAGCGAACAGATCGGGACAGCTTCCTTCGGGATTCCGAACAGGTGAATTTTTTTCAGGTTTCTGTTGCTGCGTAAGTTGGCCGATAACGCTTCCATGGTGAGGACGAAAAGAAAAGGGGCTATCGGGTCACCCTGCCTGACTGATCTGTTGAGTAGAATTTATGGAGTCAGGTTGTCATTTATCTGCACTCTAGTGGTGGCATTCTGGTGCAGAATCCTAATCCATCGTCGGAAGGAAGGGCCAAAGTTGAACTTTTCCAAGCATTTGTCAAGAAAGGTCCAATCCACGTGGTCATATGCTTTCTCGAAGTCAATGAAGACCAACGCGGCATTACTTTTGTCCTTACGTGCGAGGTTGATTACATCATGGATTAGGAGAATATTTTCTTGGATGTTTCTTTTGCGAATGAAGCCTGTTTGTGATGGGTGCACCAGATCCTCTACCACCTCTATTATTTGATTGGCCAGTGCCTTGGATAGGATCTTGTAGACCACTATCAGGAGAGTAATCGGGCGATAATTACGTATATTCATCCGGTCCCCTTTTTTGTGGAGCAAGGAGAGCACCCCTTGTCCCAACATTTCGCCCATCTCTCCGGTATTCCAGACTTCCTCATAGAAGTGCATAAGGTCGTCGGAGAGGTGCGGCCACATGGTTTCCCAAAATTCTTTTGGGAAACCATCTACCCCCGGTGTCTTTTCGTTGTCCATTTGCAGCAGTGCGGTCCAAATTTCTTCTTTAGTTATTTTGCGTTCTATCTTTTCGTTCTATTCGGGTGATAGGTGGTTCTCCATAGGGTCCAGAAACCTGTCCACGTCGGCAAGGTGTCGGGGGTCCTGTGGCTGAGGGATGTGAGATGAGAAAAGGTCTTGGAAGAACGTCATGGCTATCTTTACGCTGTGTGCGGTTGTAGTGGTCAGTTCCCCAGTGGTGGGGTCAAGAAGGGCTTCTATCATTGTCCGATGGGCTTGGATTGATGCAAGACTGAAAAATTGTGAGTCCATAGTTCCCTCCGTGGTCCATTTTGCGAGTTTCCCTCTGATTCTAACGCCCTGTCATCTATATTGGGCATATTGTAATAGTTGGTCTTTTAACTGTTGGATAGTGTTCGTGTGTTCCTCTGAATTGTCCTGGGAGACCAGGTCATGAAGTTGGTTGTGGGTCTCCATTTCTCGGGAGTATCGTTGATTCGCGACTAATTTTGAATAGTCTTTGCATTTCTTGGCCAAGAAGAACAATCCGTTTGTAAACCATTGGATTTGTGATGCAAAGTGGTGTCTTTGGTTGTGCCAATAAGCCCACACGTCTCTTGTGAAGTTCCGAAAACCTTCGACTTTTAACAGTGATGTGTTCAATTTGTAATAGTCCGGCCCTTGATCGGGCCGTTTACGGAAAGTAAGAATGATTCCACATGTGCAGTGGTCAAGGCCTGGGTACGGTCTTTGCGGGAATATGACCGAGAGTTGCAGGGCGTCCCGTATGGCTGTCGAAAGTAGGACCAGATCGATCCGAGATTTCGTGTGTCTGCCGGGGTCGTTGGTGCGGAGGCAGGTGTAAGATCTCTCCTGTGGGTGAAGGTGACGATATGCGTCGAGCAGAGAAAGAGCCGTGCTGAACTGCGAGATGGTTCTTTCGTCCTCCTCCACATATTGGGGGTAATTGCCTTGTGGGCTCCATCGGTCCATCCATCTATCCGGGGCCGCGTTAAAATCGTCGGCAAAGATTAGCGGGATGCCTTGGGGCGGGAGCGAGGCCAGGTGGTTGAAAAAGCCCTCCCTTTCCCCGGTTGAGTTGGGGGCATACACACAAAAGATGCATACCAATTCCAGTTCCAGCATTGCCAGAATGGAAACCCACCGGCCTTGTAGTTTCGTCCGCTGCCAAGTGCACCACCTCTACTCTGGAATCTGGCAGAATCCAGATCGCCACACCTGCAGATGCCGGTGTCACAGCGTGGGCTCTATAGGACTGGTGCAGCCACACGTTTCGGTGCGCTCTGTGATCATCGGGAGTGTCCAGGAGGTGTGTCTCCTGTATGCAGATCATGTCCGACCACCTCCTACCCCCCACCCCCCACCCCCCGCAATTGGTCCCATATTGCTTGGCATTTAGGGGGGTTATATGTGGCAATTTCATTCATATTGAGTGACCGCAAGTCCAAGTCCGCACTCTTCAGGCAGTGCTGCCATTCTGGGTTTCTGCAGTACAGAGTATCAAGGTCCTTCCCCATCGCTGCACGCATTGATTATCGTATGTGTGTTGTGTTTTTTTTTTTTTTTTTTTTTTTAAATTCTTCTCCATTTTTTAGAGGACCAATCTACTGTGCACAGCAGCCCATATCTGAGTATTTTCGCAAGGCACGCCTGTATGTCCTCGGCAGGCCAGAAGAAATTGGCTGTTATGTGTTGGGTACGTAGGTCCATGAGGGCGGTGTGAGTGAACCACTGTAGGTCCGGGCTTTTATCCTCTGCAAACAGAATAAAGAGATTTGTTGATGCTATCCTCTGGATCCCCTCAAAGTGGGATAGCATTGCTTTGGCCCCTACCGGGTAATTCCTGCTGACAAAGGATTCTGCTTTTCCAAAAAAATTATGTTCTCTGAGGCAGGGCAGGGACCATTGGTTGAAGAACCTCCAACCAGGCAACGTGAAACCACCCGCTGTGGGTGTGAGACCGATCTCCATTCGATCCCCTGCATAACGCAGGGGGATTGCTAACACCCCCCCATCTTTAGAGAGAGTAGCCTCGTAACGACCCGACACAATTAGATTCCTGAGTTTTTYGGTCCTCTGTTYTGTTGGCGGCCCCTCCTCCTCYGCTGTCTTGTTTACCRRAGGAGGTTGTGATGGGGKGGGCGCTCTGTTATCCCCGTCCTCTGCCCCCGRGGGTTGTCCTGGTGGTCGGAAGTGGRCCCACRCAATCTGCCTAATGCGCTGGAACAGTTCTGGCCAGGAGCTGTGCTTCGGGGGGCCGTGCTCAAGGGCTGCTCGTACAGTCGGGCTGTGGTCAAGCATATTAAAGAGCTCAATGTACGTTTGATCCCAAAATTTGTGGGAGGCACTCCCATGTTGAGCTTTGAAACCATCCAGGAGCCAATCAGCTATTGCTTGTAGCTTTTGCTCGACCCCCATTTCTGCCGGGGGGGCTGCTGTTTCCTCCTGGCTAGCCACCGCCTGGCTATCCACCTCCATTGACTCCACGTCAGGGGGGGGGGGRRRRGGGRMMGRGGGTTCCTCTATGTCCATTGGTTGGGGCCCGAAGGCCTGTAGAAATGGGTCAGTTCCAAACTGTGTCCCAGTGTCAGATTGCGCCTCTTCTTGTGAGGCTGTGCCCTCCACTCCGTTTACGCTCCCATTGTGGAGGGGGACCTTCTCGATACGTTCTGTGGTCACTGCAGCGAGCAGGGGGGGGTGGAAATGTGCCGCTGAAACCCTATGAAGGCGCTGGAGGAAGTCTGCCCATGTGCTGTGAGGAGGGGGTCCCTGTGCCAAAGTGGTTATCAGTAGTCGGCTGTCTTCCATTGTTTTAATTAGTTGGGCCTGAGCCCCTCCCCAGAAGTCCGGTGGTGCATCTGTATATCTCTGCCTCAGCCCCTTCATGATCCACTCCGAGATATGGGGGATCGTGTAGCCTGTGTCCCCGCTGTCGGGGAGGGCGATCGGATTTTCCTCACCCTCTAGAAGGGGCCCAAAGGTCCCTCCATACGGGTCCGTTGGACCCCCGCCGGCCGCCAGCGCTTCTAGCTGCACTACCTCGTTCCCTTTCGTTTTCTGTTTCCGTGCCTTTTCCAGGCTCGTCTGTTGTGCCTCGTCCCCATCCCCTTTCGTGTTTTGTCCTCCTACCATTGCCAGGCTTGCCTTCGTTTGTGAATGCTCGTCCGCCTGCCCCTTTTGTTCTTGCTGCCCTTGCCCGCCACCTCCCTCAGCATCAGTCAGTGCTGAGAACCTGTTTGTGTTTCCATCGTTGGTCGGCTGTTGTGAGGGCTGATGTCCGAGAGGCAGGCCCTTGGTCTTGTTTGTAGCTGGCGTGCCACCAACGTGCCGCCATAGGCCGGCAAGGCCAGCGTCTGACTGGTCGCCAATGTAGTTCCTCGGATCCGGGCCGATGCCATTTGTCAGGACAGTGGTGGGATCTGTCTGTTGGATCTCTGACGACGGTTGCTTGGCGAGCGGTGACAGAGGGGGGGGGGGAGAGGTTCCTTGCCTAGAGCGGTGGGGGTAATAAGTTGCAGGTGGGATTCAATCGTTTTGGGGGGAACCCATGATGTTGGTGGTTTGGTTAGGGGTTTCGGGTCCACTTGTTTATCCCAGGTCCAACCAATAATCTTGCCCGCCTCGTTTTTCTTATCAATAAAGACCCACCCCCCATGTCCAGGGTCCACAGTGAGCCAATGTGTACGGCGGAAGGGATCCTGGGAAAGCCTCCCAGTTGCTCTGCTTTGATTGATAGGGTGGTGCGGACAAGCAGGCTCAGCATACAGGTGTCCGTACGCGTGGCATTTAAAGCACCGAGGCCTGAGTTTATGGGCCGTGTGCACCTTGAATTCCTTGTTTCCCACGTAGAAGGGGATTATATCATCAATCAGGAAAGGCTGGTTTTCCGGCAGGTCGATTGCGAGCATTAGGTAATCGTCCCGTCTTGCCACGTGGGGGGGGAGGGGATCGATAAAATCGATTATATCGTACTTCTCCCCAAAGTCCTGGATCAAGGCGGCCTGGATTTCGACAGGGACGTGACAAAATTCCACCCGGAAGTGATCTGTCATCATCTGCAGTCTTCTTTCTTCCGGTTTTTGTTGTCGGGGGGGGGGACCAAGGGTAGATACGCACCTCAGATCTGTCACATCTTATCGAACGCCATCCGTCCATTTGTCGTTTGTCTGTTTCGTGTCGGCAGACGACCGTAATGGTCGTCGTGGATAACGGTTGGAGCAGAAACAGGTCTTGTGCTTCCTCCACGTTCCCTCGCAAGGAGGCCAATCGTTTCCTGAGCCATGCGATCTTGTCATTGGTTGATTTAAAGACGGCGTCGTCGTGAAACACCCAGTTGCTGGCGTGCCGGGTGTACAGTTCGTTCCTATTTTGTACTTTGGCCATCAGGAGGGCTTTCATCATTAGTGCTCGCCCTCCATGATTCACCACCCTTGGTTCCGACGGGGTCAAAAGTTGGGATAGAAAGAAAGCATTAGCGGATGACACGTTGTCGAGTGGAATTTTCCACTCGCGATCCTCGTTGCCCTCCGATCGTCTCGTCACCACGATTGTTTGACCAGCGTTGGGGCGGCGTAGTCTCTCTGCCCAGGAGGGAGGGGGAGGCCCGGGGCGTGAATCGAGTGTCTCCTTGGTTTCTCGCAATACTTGGGCTGGGGGGAGGTCGCGTCGGACCTCCTCCTTGCTCCCTTGCCTTGGAGCCCCCTCGCTCCCTTGCCTCGGTTTCCCTCTCCAAGCCAGTCGTTCGTTGGCATAGTGCCGCAAGGCCCCTCTGAACATCATGGTTGATTCCACTTTCCTATGGGCCCTTTGGTTTTTGAGGGGTCGTTTTTCTCTCTCCGGACCCCTCGCCATCACTCCCGTCGTCCCCGTTTCCGGCACTCCTCTGTCCCACGATAGTTTTGCCGACTTTCGCCCTTCCCCGCTGTTGATCTCCCTTTGTCTCCCTATCCCGACTCTCTACTGTCCCCCAACTGTTTCGCCGCCCGTCCCTCCTGTTGCTCGCCTTAATCGTCCACCCTTCACCTTTCTCTAATCCCCTGCTGTATGTGCCCTGTTTTGTTCTTTCGTTCTTTCAACCCGTCTACCTCTTAATCTACTTCGTCTGACATTTCAATTCTAGCCGGGTAAACCTGTTTTGGTGTTACATATTACTTATCATTTATTCAATGGGGAGAGACGGTCCTGCTTGGACCAGTCAAGTGTATTGCTTACCTGTCTTCGTCGTGTTACCGGCGTGCACCACCCGAGGTCCTCCACCGGGGGGGGGGCAAAGAGCCTCCGCCCTCGGGGCCCCAAGAGAACCCGGGCGTGACACGAGCTGCTGCGTTGACTCGGTTTACTGCGATGCTCCCCACGGTCGCAATCTCTGGCTTCTGTTGTCGTACTGTCGTTTCTACGTAGCTCTTGCGTCGTTGTCGCACCTCCTATGCATCTTGGTCGCCGCCCGCCCCCTTTCGTTCACGAGGGTCCGTCCGCCGTTTCTTCTGCTGTTTCAGCTTAACGGCGGGTCTCGCATACTGTGTAGGAATCCCTTCCGCCCACTGACCCCTCCTACTCTCCGCCTGACCTCCACTCCGTCTTCGCGGAAGCGCCCTTCTCACCTTCCTTCCCTCTTCCACTCCCCTCCGTCCACGTGGAGCTGACCACAAAAAACACCATAGCCTCTACAGGTTAACTCTCCGTGGCGCCCCCAGGCGTCGGGGATCGTGCCCCACCTCCCTCGAGCCTGCCGAGGGATTAGCGCACCGGCAGCGGCGTTCTTCTCCCGCGAATTTTGAGGTGGGTCTGTCCCTAGTTTCCAGACTAGATTGTCGTTGAACTTGAAGTTGGTGTTGTGTGAAATAGCAGAAACTGTTTGCAGTGCGAATCAAATGGCAGTAACTGTTTGTGGGGTCAAGGTCCTGCCTCGATTATTCATTTCGGGCCATCGATTATGAAGATCGACGGCCGACCGGGGGGAGAAATGGATAATCCAGGCAAGTGGGACCTAGCTCCAGCAGACTCTGAGGGAGTCCATGGACCCCAGCATAATACTGCTATGATCCTATCATATGAGAGGCCCACCTCCGTCTCCTAAGTTTTCCACAACCACTACTGTCTTCACTTGAATAGAACGCCTTGTCCTTATAGCTGTATTTGGTGCAACTTTCAGTCAGGATACAGTGATAAGGACCTGGCAATCCGTTTGGGTGAAGAAGGTAGTTTAGTGGCAACATCCCACTTTCCCTGGATTATTGTTTGGTTTTTAACCTTTCTAGCTCAGCCTGTTGATATCATCTTCATAACTTATATACATGGGTGCCATAGGGGGTATCGCAGTTGTTCACGACAGACTCTTGTCGTTTTGACCATGCTGCTCATTACCTTCGTACCTTCTTATGTGAGACATTTGTTGAAATATGCTTGTCGGGGATATTTACCCTTACAGGTGGGCCCCCAGAATAGAAGTGGCTCTGTGTGTGTGTTTATTGCGGTGTTACCACGCGTTCAATGAATGCGCGTTCTGTGTTCAGGTTATGAATGCACTGAACGCGTGTTCAGTGAACGCCGGTAAACGCGTTTGACGTATTTGACGCATTTGGGGTTCGACCCACTGCGCAGGGGGTTGTGCGAGGTGGGGTGTGCCTGCGGGGAGTGGCGGCGGTAGTTGGGGGGG